TCCCTTTGTCCACTGCTTGGAGGAGCTGATTTCATATTTCTACCAGCCTGTTATCTGAACACACTGGGGGAATCTAAGGATACAAACAAGTTAGCAGTTGTCCCATCAACAATTCTTGGGAGAACGCCAGTGTCAAGAGTTGGTCTCATAAGCACTGGTCTCTAAGAACCACTGGCATTACTGAATATGATGAATAGGGTAGGCTGTGAAGATAAAGTCATTTCAGGGATACTCAGAAATATCCTTAATTGTCATATGGCCATTAGATTCTGCTGTTGTAAGTATGGCCACCATATAGAACCATGGGAAATCTGGGACACTGCACCCCCCCCCCCCCCCAAAAAAAAAAAAAAAATAAATAGTGGCACTGCTACAAACAGAGGCGGAGCGGCATGGCACACCACACAGGTGAGTGGCAACAGTGCCTGCCTGCCTGCCTGCCCACCTGCCTGGTGCACCATGCTGCTCTGCCTCCCCACTGGACTGCATCCCATGCCCCTATGATTCCCTCCCACCCCATCCCAGTACATGAACCCTCTCATCTAGCACAGGCCCATTTGGTACCTCTTGACTTCTGGCTGAAGTGCCTGAAAGGAGGTGTGGACTGTCACACAGGGGCTCTGGGCTCCATGCAGACCTGGGCACACAGCACCCCTGTGGGCAGCATGGCCAGGCACACAGCTGTGCCACACCCCATGCCCATTCTGCATGGGTAGCGCATGCAAGTACCTGGTATGGCAGTGGCTGCAGCCTGGTGGCCTCTTGCTGCTGCAGCTGCCAACTGGCTTGGCCCATCCTGGCCAGGGCTGCAGACTCAGGGCAGAGCCCAGAGCTGCTCCCCCAAATACAGGTCCCTGCCAGCAGCTGGATGGGCAGGAGGGGGAATTGACACACACACACACACGCACGTGAGCAGTTTGGCTGATTCCCATCAATCTTGGACTTTTGCTTCAAGTTTCACCAAGCAGTTAGGATGCCAGGACTGTTCCGGCTAAACTGAGATGCGTGGTCACCCTAGTTAAAATTATTTTATAAAATCCTGTGACCATTACATTGATCTCACTGAAGCAACTGTGTCCCATCCATTCAAATTCTAATGCAAATTCTTTGCAATATCCCCTCTACATTTAAATTGACTATGACTATCAAAAGCTTTACTACTTCACATCTCTTTTTGAATACAGCTAGATCATTATTCTCGGCATTATTATTGGGCTCTGGCTGAAGGCAGGACAGGGATTAATTTAGCATACAGCAATTGCCTTTTTTTCATAATTATGAGCATTCCCATCCCACTATAAACAACACCATGTTTTCCAAGAGGCAAGGTCCACACGCTACTCACAATACTTAAATGTCACTTGTGATATTGGAACTTGTGCCTGATCAAGTCTGATCCACCTAGTGTCTAATATCTGGACTGTAGGCAGAAGTAGCCAGCAGTTAAAATTTTGAGAACATGAAAGACTTGTAAAGTGTGCCAAACTCTTTGTTCAGTGGTACACAAAGGTAAAAATCTCCTTCCTTATCTCCTACTGTGATCAATTCATGCCCAAGAAAATTAGACTTAATTGCCTTTACCATTGTCTAAAGCTAAGAAAAGTAGTATTTGCAGGAAGGACTCTTTTCATTGCAGTTTTTATTCTAGATTGGCATGCAGTGGATGTTAAAACCAG